GGTGTTGAGAAGCTTGTGGAACCAGTGTGCTCACCGTTGGCGAATAAACGTGGGGTCCCGAAGGACCTTGCCGTCCTCGTCCTTGATGTTCTGAGAGGTGAACGACCTCTTACCTTCGACGTCGATCATCTTCAGGTGCCTGTAGAAACCCGCCTGATCCCCCTCGCGGCTCTTCTTCTCGAGCTGCCGTACATAGCCCTCGAAGAACGTTTCCAGTGCTCTCCACCTCGCGATGCTGCGCTTCTTCCGCGCCGCCTTGAGCATCGCCTTCAGGGTCGCCTCGCAGGCGCTGTTCTTTGAGGCCCCGCGCAGTTGCTGCTGGGCCGCCTTAATCTCCTTCGACGCTTCAGAGATCTCGTGCTGCGCTTCGCTCGTGTACCAGCCTCTCTGCCCTCGTGCGCACCTCGCCAGCGGCGCGGTCTCAGCAGCGGCCGACATCACCGTAGCCGTCAGCTCGGCGGCGGTCTCTCCCGTTGGCCGCCTGAGCGCCGTGGGCGGAGGGCAGCTGGAGGCCCTGTTTTGGAAGGCGACCCGTAGGTGTTTGTCCTTCGTTAACCGCTCGAGGTCGACACGGATGCGGCTGCTTCCGCTGTTCCCCCGCACTCGTCGGTTGGGTGCGACACGGGGGGGGAGGCGGACAGTCGTAAGCACGAGGTTGTGGTCAGAGTCTTTGAAGTCGACACGTTTGACGGAGACATTGCGCACGAAACGCCGGTCCGCCTGACGCATGAGGATGAAGTCGAGGCGGTACTTCTCCTTCCCCTTGTTGGAGCTCTGGAATGTGTGCTGCACTCCACCTTTCGGTGTCCGGAAGTAGGTGTTGGTCAGGGAGAGTTGGTTGTCTGACGCCAGTCCAAGGAGTCGTTCCCCGTTGTTGTTCATAATGTCGCGTCCGTACGCGCCCATAATCTTGGCATCGCAGCACCCGTCTCGCCTCCTACCAGTGCGTGCGTTGGCGTCCCTCAGCACCACGAGATGGTCACGGCTGTGAACCTCCGGATCACTGCTCGAGAGCAGCCCAGAAGGAGTCCTTGGTTTGAACATCACCGCCCGCGGTGGTGCGGACAGTTTCCGTGGGGGCGTACCCCACCACGAAAGTTACTCCGCAGGTGCGGCCAATTTGTAGACGCACCTTCATCAGCCTCAGGCTAATGCACTCCACCGTCCTACCTTCCTCGCCCACACTCTCCCACATGGCTTCCTTGATCGCTATGCCCACACCGTGTACGCCCCTCTTGTCCTTGGTGCCAGCACGGGCGCCACTCCAGATGATCACGTACCCGTGGTGTGCAACTGAATCTTGCCCCTCTCGTCGGGTCTCCTGAAGTCCTATCACATCACAGCCGGTCGCGGAACAAATCTGCATGACCGTCATCACGTTGTGACCGATGGGGTTCCTACCGCTGTAGGCGAGCGTGCGTACGTTGAACGTGCCGAACGATAGGTCGTCCTCTCGTGCCTTCTTCTTCGCAGCCGCCTTGACGACCGCTGCGGTCTCGTGTCTCTCTCGGTCCGCCTCGCAATGCGGGTGTGCTTTCTTCCGTATTTTCCGAGCGGCGAGTTTCCTCGCATCAATCCATCTCTGCAGAGCTCGGTTCTTGCCTGTTGTGTTTTGACGAAGAGGGTGCAGCACTCCCTCCCCGCGGTGCCCGCGGTTGCCTCCCTTCTCCCGCGAGCGGTGCTTACTGACGTGTGATTTACGAATCTCTCTACTCCTCCAGCTTCGTGGGCCACGCTTTCCGCGACGGTGGTTGCCAGGTGCAGTTTGCCGCTTTGCATTACTGCCGCGGGAACAGTGTCCATACACACCTCTCGCCACTACCACCGTCTGTGCATCCTCACCGCCACGCTGAGCCAGCGCGGCGGTGAGTTGCACCTTGGGACACCACCCGCCTACTACTTTTTTTTCTTCTGCCATCATTGGACTCTGTCGTCTGCCCCTCTGGCTCCTATCCTCCACTTCTACCAGCTAGACGACCCAACCGGGCTGTTGTGGCCTGGTTCGCCCGCGAGGGACTCACTAGGTCGATTTCGGCCCCGGCCGCTAAGCAGGCCGAGGGGGAAGGAAGCGGAGTGTGTGTGTACGTGTGTATGGAGCGTTTTTGGCGACAAGAAACAAGCACTGCAAGATCATCAGTTGTTTAGCAGCGGTATGCATACACACAGAGAAATAAGAGGCCCCATTGACATCCAAAGGCCATAAGTGCATACTACACCTGGATGCACCTCTCGAAAATCGAAAATATACGAGTGGACACAGAATTCCGCGTGCAATTTTGGACATGATTCCTGGTGCTGACGAAATACGTATGCATATACGCGAAGAAAAATACTCGTAATTCCGCGATGGATTGCGGACCGCCCCGGAGTTTTATTTAGTTAGGTAGGGAACTCGTGCGAAGGTGTCCTTGTACCGAATACGGTAATAGTTCATCGAGGGATACCTTGGGAATCGTGTCCTCCTCATACTGGAGCTCTCAAGTTGAGAGAAAGGCATAGTAGCGTAGTACTACATATAGTCTACTGTATTACGCACGAACGGCGAGAGACGAGTGATATTAGTATAGGACGGGGCGGGGGGTACAGTGCGGGGGTCCCGCAACCCCCGCAAACATGAAATACTTGGTTAATTCAGACACAGCTCACCCGAGGATCCTGCTCTAGACTCTATTCCTACAATAGCCTACCGCGACGTTGGGGGACGAAATGAGAAATGGAGCCTCGACCCAATATTGACGCTTCACATATATGCGGGCCTGCACTGTTGTACTATGCACCCCAATACCTTTGCCTCTGTCGTATGCATCTCACCAATCAATGGCTCTCAAATCCCCACATGTCTACACCTGTGACCTGTTGTCTTCGATGCGACTCCGCGTTACCTATCCCCTTCTCGCAGGCACGGAAAAGACGCGAAGGAAGTCGGAGGGTTTGGAGAGGTGCAAGTGGTGATCCACCGCAAGACGGGAACGAGATACGCCATGAAGACCGTCAAGCTGTCGAGCGTCAAGAGCGAGAAAGCCTTCGACTTCATCATGAATGAAGTGGATCTTCTCAAGACCCTGGACCACCCCAACATCGTGCGCCTTCAGGTGTGTGTGTGTTTTTCTACCGTACAAGCAATTCGATCCGATATGGTTGGAGGATCTGGATTGCGGCAAGCTGCCGTGTTGATGTTAGTGTGCTGTGCCGTGAGTATTATGCCTGGCAGGTACAGCTACTGCTACTGCTGCTGCTGCTGCTGCTTCTGATGTGCACGACGTGTTGTATTTTGCAAGTATCCGTTATCCCGGCACCCCCGCACCACCACAATCCTGCATGCCGCGTCACCGTTTCGTGCCGTAACTGACCGCCGCAGGAGGTCTACATGTCCGACTCCCACCTTTTCATGGCCATGGACTTGATCACGGGGGGAAATTTAGCCGGGAGTTACCGTTGCGATGGAGAGCACACAGCTGCGATCATCATCAGGCAGATCGTCCGCGCATTACGATATCTGCACGACCGACACATTGCGGTATGTACACAAAAGTGGTATTCGTCAGCGTCCTTTATGGTCAGTGCACCACTAACCCTAACCCTACCCGCCATTCGTCCTTCCCTCGAAATAAGGCGCAATTTGCTTCTTGGTCAGAATATCAGAACTCAACCGCAGTAAGAATATGTTCTTATTTTGTGATTGCCTACGTGAATCCTGTGCTTCCATTATGTCGTCTGAGACAGTCGAATCCTGCTCATCGGCGAACATATCTTGCGCGGGTTCAGGGCGCCTTTAGAGTTACCCTTTCAGCTCGCCATATGTCGGTTTTGGCACAATGTCCGACTTCTATGTTCTATTGTCGTTCATGTGGAGTCTACAGCATGAGCCTCTCTACCTTCGCCCGCATGTTTGCTGAGCTCACTCAATTAGGACTCCCCTCCCCCCACCGTTTACCCCCCTCCCCCCCCC